ATATCAACTCAAGTCATTTCCTTGTTGTTTTCACAGACTCTCAAAAAGGCCTACTTGGGTATAATTTATACCCTCTCCTTTCTAGCATGTCTGTACAACAGAAGTAAGAAATGGTGCAGCTATAAGAACCCCAGAGGCAGTTCCATCCAGCTCAGTAAATCCCTTCAGAAACCCTGGACACCATTGCATTTATATGGATGAATTTTTAGATTAACTTAATAATTGTTATTGCAATTATTACATCATAGGCATCATTCTATGGACATTGACTCTAAGGATTTTTAGAAGAAATAGTAAATGAGGGGTACCCAGGGCTCCCAAGGTGTTAAGGGGTACACTTTCCAAAAGAGGTCTGACCATGTGCACTCACACAGGCAGAAAAAGCATACTCTTGGTATAAAAGATCTTTAATAGAACTGAGAGAGAGAGAGAGAGAAAAGGATTTCAAATATCAGTCCCAATAATACTCTGAAAATTATATTTTCCTCTTATGAGCGAATGCCCAGCCAAACAGGCTCAACCCACAGTGGTGTGACTCAGCCCCAAATGCTTTTCACAAGTCTAAAGGACCTTCTGAAGGTGAAGCATAAGAAAGGGACTAGGCAGTTCCCAGGAAGCTGGCACAGAAGGAAAGACCTGAAGTTCAACATATCCCAAATAATGTACCACAAGTTCACGTCAATGACTTCCAAGTCTCTGCCTGTCTCTGCTAAGGACCAGGAGCAACCCCTCATATCTCTCTCCCACATCTCCTCCAAGTGTCTTTCCAGCTGTCTCTCCTGCTCCTTCCTAGCTACAAATAAGTGGGCATAGGAAAAATGGCTTATATTTACTGTGCTAAGATCTCTCTCCTATCGTGGAGATGTAGCTGTAACAAATCCACTTTGATAGCCCTGGTATGAACCATGGGTAGGAAACCGGACATGATTTCATGTCTCAGATATATTAGCAGCATCAAGAAAAGGAGAAGCCACAGCCTCATTAAGTGTTACTTGTAGGACAGGGCACTTGGGGAATATGAACCTCCCCAGTCTGAATCAGATGCAACACAGCTCACTGAAAGTGTTTTTGTGCTAATTATTATGATCTTTCTACCTGGAAACAAAATCAGTCAGGTTAGGTTTGGATCAGAAATGTGGTAACCTTTCCTTATTGGCTGGTGAGATGGGAAGATCTCTGACCAGATGCCAAGCCCTGATATTCTTGAATCTCTTTCCTGTGGTAAAGAAAGATAGATGGACAGACAGTCCACTTCAATAATTGTGCTCTATTTGTCCTTTGAGGGTTCTGTTCTGAAAGCTTCCTGTTGAACTCTCAAAAAAGACTATCTTGGATGACTAGAATGAACCAAGAGGGGTTATTTTTTAGAGTAGGGGACCATATGTCATACAATTCCCTCTTTATTCTGCAGTTATTATATTATCTTGACCCTTGAGACTTAGCAATTCCATGAAGGTCTCAACTCCTAGGAAAAAAGTAAAGAAAGAAAAATAGCTTGGCCCACTTCGATTTTTTTCCCTCACTAAAATTAAGCTTTGCCTTCAATATGATGGGCAGCCATTCCAGTACCATGAGCAATAACATGAAGGAGGAAAATTCAGAGCTCCCCCTTCCCAAAGTTTAGTGATGATTGCACTACCTTGTAAGGCAAAAACTTTAGACTCTTTTCAAATACACCAGACACTTAGCAGCATCCTGTCACATAAGTACACATTAAATGTGCTCTAACTAGTTAATATGTTTATTAAGCTCACATCCAACATATATGGAACTTAGAACAGCTTGATTTAATGTTGACCACAGAATCATTTGATTTTAAAATTGGAAGAAGTATATGATATGACTTAGTTCAATCTCATTGTAGACATTAGGAAACTAAGCTGAACCAAAAAGGTTAAGTAAGTTATCCAAAGCCTCATATTTGAGTAGTAACAGAACCAGAATATGAAATCAGGTGTCCTCATTCTCAATGCCATATGCATTATGCTTTATTGCACTAAATTGTGAGTAATTTTTTTTAAGATTTATTTATGTATACAGAACTGGGGTACAGGCCAGTGAGAGGATTCACCAGAGAAAAGAGTAGGGAGCAGGACAAGCCAACTGACAAAGTAAAATGCTGAGGGGAGCAGTGGGTGGGCACAGAGAGGTCTGCTGCGCCATGTGGGTCACCTCTGAGGCGGGGATCAAACTCATGCTGAAGTGGCTTTAGCTGTTCAGTGCTGTGCTTTAACTCACTGTGCCACCAGGGAGGGCCCGTGAGTAATTGTTTTAACATGCATGTCTGACACACTTGACCACTGCTCTTTAAGAAAATATTCATCTCCAGCTTCTAATACAGTCAATGGCACATAATAGGATCCCAATAAATGCTGACAAAAATGAATAAATGGTGAACAGTGAATAAGTGAGATCTGGGTTGGTTGGTTTGTTTTTCCTCATCATACACAAATAAATGCTGTACTTTTTAGCAGTCTGCTAATGTTTGGTCAGCCTAGTCATAAAGAAGTAAGTATCAGCTAAAAAGTAGAAAAAGTAGGATGAACAGGCAAGGAGAGGGAATCTAATTGTGTAGGAATAATAAGCAGAGAAACTCAGTGCACAGACAAAGTTTCTAGATTCAATTTGGGAGCTTTTTGTCAAGACTCTTGCCTTTTTTGATCTCTCCCAATTTTCAAATAAGGACTTCTTAAGCAGATGGTACTTTAAGCAGTTCCCATCATTGCTATACCTCCTCAGACCCAGGAACGCAGGATTGACTGCAGGTTGCGTTGTATAATAAGCATAGCTGCTCTTTACTGGATTTCATGTCCCTCTACATCTTCCCACCCATTTGGCTCCCATTCCTAACCCATGCTGCTGCTACTGTTCCTATCACACAGGAAAGTGCATGTAACTCAACGTGATCCTCTTTCTGGAATATTTTCCATTTAAAAGACACTCCAGGAGAAACAAAGGAAGGCTGCTTACACTGTGGCATTTCAGATTCAATGACAAGCCAGCAGAGGGGATAGATACATGTGGACTGTCTTTGTCGCTCTTTGCAAATCATCCAAAGTCAATGAAAATAAAGGTTAAAAAATACAGTTACCCAACCCCACTGTGAGTTTTTGTTCTTCCTGAAATGCTTGCCATTGTAAGTAATTTGATACTACACAGTGCCTGTTAAAAAAAAAAAAGGTTTGGGTTCTTAAGTATAGCACACTAATGGCTTAGTCCTGGAGAACTGCTTCAGTAGGACTGGACATGAGTGGGGGCACTGACGGCCGGAGGGCTGTGCCCTGGTAGGCGTTATCAGTGGCAAAGTGTCACTTTGTAGAAGAGCAGGCTGTGCTCATTTGCCAAAGACTCTAGATGGAATGTGGGGAACTTGGCCTGTTTTAGAAATGGTGCTACACAGACACCAGAGAACCTGAAGTCACCCACATTGACCCAAATGCCCATGTAGGGAGAGTGTTAAGGAGATCAGCAGGCTCCTGTTTCAGGTGGATTGGACTACCTTTGTCAAAACAAGTCTGGAAACCCAGCTTTTCCTCAAACATCTCCCAGGGCCATTTAGAACTTAACCAGACCCCTCTAGTCAGCACTCCACCTAATTACGGCAGCCACTCTCCATCTTCAGTGACTGCTTCTCATCTCACACATACCACATATTTCCATACCTGTGATTTTGCCCTTAACGTTTCCTCTTCTCGAAACACTTTTCTTTCATATAGTCAGTGGGACAAGTGGCATCTGTTGCCTATCACCAGAAGTGTAAGTCTGAACATGTGTGGCATTGCATCCTGGCATCAGAGTCACCAAGGAAAACACTCAAGCACTAGATGAAGCAACAGAAATGTCAGCCCGAATAACGGGCATCAGCTCCTCATGGCCAGTGGGTCCTTCCCAGCAACTATTGCCTGGCCACTGGCCTTCTTGCAGCTCTCTTGTGCCATAGAACAAAGAGCCTCTTCTCTTTACAGGAGACAGGTATAGCAGCAATATTGCCAGATGCCAAATGGCACACATGCTTAGCATAACAGAGGCGCACACATTAAGTCTAAAACAGGGCAAGATATTCCCACACACAGTGGCACCTCTCACACAGGTGGTGAGAGCCTGTCATCACTCTGTTAAGAAGTGTTCCCACCTGAAGGCCCATTGTTAATGTGGCTGAAACAGGTAGAAAGACAACATATATGAGGCTGCTTTTCCCAACATAAACCACGTGACTTCTTCCCGTGACTCTCCTCTCCATTTATCCCCCCCAGACCTTTGATCTCTTTATCAAGGAGGCCTTCACTGATCAAGCTTTTAACATCATTACCTCCAAATCTAACCCTCAGCCTCCATGAAGTCAACGGTTTTCACTGTCTGGTTAACTGGTCTATCACATCTGCAGCAAGGATGGGCACATAGTAGGTGTGCTATAAAAATGTATTGAAGAGATTGGCAACTTAGACCTGTAAGAAGAAAAGTCTTCTCTTGTGATGCCTAGAAAGCAGTGAAAGAAAACTTTTCAGGAGTTTTCATAGACCAAGTCAGTCACCTATACAACATCCAATTTTCACTTAGAAATCCAGCAACCCTTGAGAAAGTGATATGTCCAGGTAAGCAAGATAAAACTATTATCATTCCGTTCCCATCAGCGCTCCAAGCAATTTTTAGAAACCTGTCTTCTGATACATAGCACTAATTTGTGTCTTACGGAAAATCAAATAAATTATTTTTCACCTGAAGGGAGCAGGATTATTTGACTTCAGATATTTGCCATATGGCTTCTCTTCCGTATAACATAGCTTCTAGGCTTAAGGTAGTAAGAATCAGAGCATGCCTATAAATTATTCAGAGATAATTCAAAATAAGTGTGTAACTTAGACAGATTGTCATTTCTTAATGCTTTTTCTGATAACAAGTGCTATGTTCTTGACAAAAGTGTCATTTCTCACCACACTTTATTGCTCTGTGTATTTTTTTTTTCCTATGTTGTTTTGTTGTTGTTGATTTTCCCCCCACAGAGTCCAGTCTGGCTCTTATCTCAGCACCGGGTGGTTTACCTTCATTCTGGCCATGGATGCCTGCTACAGTATTCACGTCTACGGGATGATAAATGACACCTACTGCAAGTAAGATTACAGGAAATTATTTTTATGCATCTCCAATTCTGATATCTTGTCAAAATATCACAATTCATTTTACTATCATAAATCTGAGAAACAGATAAAGCAACAATTATTTCCTGGGGTTCTTTGCTGACATGACATTTTATTGTCAGTACGTGAAGTTGTGAGTTTTAAGGGTGATAAAAAGAAAAATATTTACCACAATCTAATGTCAAATGTCAGAAGGAACATTTTCCCTTTAATCAGTGGCTTGGCAGGGACTGTGGCTGGAAATCCAGAGCAAGTTCAGTGGTTATTTAATTTGCAAAGCAAGTTTGTCATTTCTGCTCCTCTATTCACTTGATAGATGGTTGCCTATTCAATAGTTATATCTGAACATGAAATGCAAAATGTCCTGAAACCACAGAGAAACTGACAACGTCACGAAATTATACTTTACTAATAAATAAATAATCTCCCACATCCTTATTTAAAATGGATATGTTAATCCACAGTATATCCGCACTAGTGGAATAGGTTCTAATTAGGTAATCAAACAAATCTTCTATGTTTTATGAAGATAATTAAATATTTCCCTACCAACAACTGGCACAAACTAATTCAGAGTGTTTTAATCATATTGTCAAAGTGGTAACTAAGTCACAATTTTCATGGTGAAATATTTCTACCCTATCTATAAGCATAATGAAGTACAGATGAACCAAATATTTCACTCTTGAACAATCACAAAGCTTCTTCCAGCTCTGCAAGTTTACTCCCATTATATACTACTTCCTCCTTCAAAGGATAGCTATATTGTTTTATATGTTTGAATGTAATTGGCGTGATATGTACATTTTATTTGATTTATTAAAATATTAAGGACCTGGTACATTTTCCTAAAAGCTTTTATATATAATAGCTTTTAACTGAGTCCATGGATAAGAATCATGCAAGGGTTTGCAAGTAAATGCATTTACTGAGCACATAATGGATTCTTGTAAATGAATTCTTCATTCTTCATCTCAATCCTCCTTTTGTTTTTTTTTTCTTTTCTAGGACAGAAGGGTATAGAAAAGTTCCCTACCATTACTATGAACAAGGAAGAGATGAGTGTGATGAGTATTTTCTTCATGAACATGCTCCATATGGGGGACATAGATTTATCACTGAAAAGAAAGTGTTTGCTAACTGGGCCAAGAAACACAGAATGATATTTACACACCCAAACTGGACAGTGTCTTGATATTGGTTTTCTGATCTTGCCATACCACTTGACATGATTATGATACTTCAACTATGATGCTAAGAATGATGGTGATGGTGATGGTGACATCAACAACGATGATCAAGTTTCTGTACATTCTCAGATATGGGTGGTGGCTCTACCAGTAATTTGAACTTGGGACCCGTGGAGGGTGGTTGTGCTCATTATATTCTTTCTGAAGGTTCAATACTACATACTGCACTTTATAATTTAACTGGAATTAAATGAAGGCCAGTAACTGGGCAGCAGTGACTCAAGAAATGGAAAGATTATCTTTAAATATAGCTGCTGAGAATTCTTGAAGAGGGAGGATTTTAAAAACTCTGGAATATGGCCTCCTGAGGCCAGGTTATTAACTCCAGGGGCTCGTGCACCTGAGCACCTCTATCATCTTGAATGGTTAATTGTGAAACACTCACACCAGAAATGAAGTTGGGGTGCAAGTGCTTACCACAGTTCCTTGTTAGTCTGGGGACAGGGAAGAATCTCTTCCTGATCATCTTTCTACAGTAATTTCTACAGCTAAAGCCTCAGGCCATTACCTGATTAGCAAAGTATCATGGACATCCCTCCCATCAGGATTACTTGATTATCTCTTATACTTAATTCAAAATGGGCCAAATAGCAAATCTTGATGAATTTCCATTCTTACCACTCCATTCTCACTACCCCAAACATTATAACGAAACATGTTAATAGAATGATCTATGTTAATGTTTAGTTATTTTTGATTGAGCCCTAAACATTTCAGAAGGCTATTAACATGTAAGATACCAACACTGTAACAACATATACTGTGAAAACAACATCACCAAAAGGGTTTACTAACTCTTCAACAACCAACAACACAAATGTATATGCTTTTTAAAATCATGAAACAGGGAAAGCAAAGCATATTTTTACATCACTTTGTAATTTACCATACTTCATAATATATATTTGTATATTCAAATTTCTATTTTATAGGCCTGATTATGCCTCTTCATACATTACATTATCTTTGCCAAGTGCCAACTCTTAGACATGGAGAGGATATGATTCGTTGCATTTAATCTAATCAGAGTTTTGCCTTCTTGGGGTTTATTTTCCCCTCAGTGTACCAGTTATCATACCATGTTAGCAACAGCAATGACCTTAATGCCCAAAGTGGTTTGTAATTTGGGGTCCTTTCACAGATATATTATCCCATGTAATGCCCAAGACCATTGCATTGGACTATTGCCTACACCTTCTGGTATGTCCTTAGCAATGATCTGTAATTTGTTAATTGGTCTAATGTACTCCAGATTACTCCTTGTGCTAATAGTTTCATAGGTTAGCAATTGATTTCAGTGCCAAATACATTATATCTAGATGATGCAAAAAGTATCACAAGGATGGTCCTGACCATAGACCAGCACCCTTGTGGACATAGGTACTTTTTAATGACTATTTAGATGGGGAAAGGATGAGATAGCAGGAAGGAAGGGAAGCAGAAAAATAATTTCCTGCCCCCATCGTAATATGATTCTGTTCTCCATACTGATCATTAAATTTTAGAAGGTTGATTTGCTTAGAGACCAAAACATCTTTGCAAATCATTCAAAAGACAAAATACAGGCTTAATTGACAAACTATTCTGGAGGCTGGAAAGAAAGTACTGATGCATTTCACCTCAGGGGTACTGGGGTCTTGACCAGTGCTAAAAGTCCTACGGTTAGTTATTATCAGAATGGGCCATCTTGGGCAGGTGCCTCTTTGCACTCTCTTCTGCCATCTTAGTACCCCAGTACTCAAATTCATAAAAATAACAAAGTGCCAGTTCCATCACTAGAACTATTATTGTTGCTATTCTTTTTTTTCCTTATGTGATTTTCAATTCTGTGTATGTTTTTTCAAGCTAATGATGAATAGAAATGCCCAATCAAAGAAAAATAAACAGATACAAATGTTAGAATTGTAAAGCCGACTGTTCCCCCCCCATTGTGATATAGAAGTCTACTTTTAAATAAAAAGGAACACTTGATTATCAAAATGCTTCAGGGAATGGCATCATTTATTTAGTATTCTAGTAAATGGAGGACCAAACTCTGTTTTAACCCTTAAAAATGACAAGAGTTTGACTGATTACTTGTTCTGCTTCATTCTAGCTCCTTCCATGGATTTTTTTAGTTGTCCTGTATTCCTCATTCTATGACAGCAGTATGAACAGAGTATACAATGCTTCCTTTGCAAGAGAAGAGGTTTCTTTCTGTCTTCTACCCTCCCTCTACTCTGACCTCCCTGTCTTTTCCCTTCTCTTCCCTTCCTTTTATCTTAACTAAATCTCTACTCTACACTTTTTATTGTTGTTTTCTCTTGTCTCTTTTTTCCCCTAAAAGTGGGAAACAAAAGCATATTATTCTCAATTTAGAAACTTAATTGAATGATCCTCAGTGTAATCAGCACTTTGATACAATCTCATGGCTAATTTTTCTCCAGAGTCTTAATTTTCTCTAGTTTCATGTACTGTTCTCCTTTACCCTCAGCTTCCTAATTCTAGTTGAAATACAAATTCTAATTTTTCCCACACTGAGGAGAAATTTCCCATGTAAGATTAGCTGATAGAGAAAGCATGGCTAAAGAGCAAATTCCAAGAGACTACATTGTCATGCAAATTTCTAGGGAATTCCACTGGTTCTTGTAAACTGGAAGAAATTTCACCTAGCATTAAACATTGGAAAATTTAACTGAACTCACTTATCACTGATGTGTACATATCCCAAAAGTTAATTAACATCTATGAAAAGTATGTATGTAACATCCAAGGCTCTAAGCAAATAAACACAGAAAATGGCCACAAATTTCTGAAATTAGTATAAGAAATGCAGTCTAAAAATAATAAATTGATGGGGGATGTTCATATATGTGTATATAGCACATTTGTGTTTGTGTATAATGGTTTATGTGCTTTGTATGTTTTACTGGTATATATGAATCAGTATATATATTCATTTAGAAAAACGTATTTTCGTCTTCATCTGAAACCTTTTGAATACTGATGAAAAAAGAAAGCAAAAGTCCAAATTTAATGTATTGATTACTCAAAGTGTATAAAATCATATTCAATGGCTAGCCAGAAGAAGAAAGCTGGAGAATTTGCAAAATCTAGAACTGAGAACACAATTAGGTGCCAGCAGTTGTCAGAAATCAGACCTGTAAGTATAGCAATCTGTATAATCTGTATGGTAGGCTCGGCCAAGATTGCAGCTCAGCTAAAGTCACGTTGAAAAACATCGCATCAAGCTTCATTCACACTGAAATGAATGAACATTGGTCCCCCTATTCAAACGAGACTGTCTTTAATGTAAGCAAACGCACATTTGCATGATTTTTATTATATGGTTAGAGAACTGTGACCATTGTGAAAAATGAAAATTATATAAGGAGATTGCTCTTTGAGGATTTGGAATGAGTCAGCCAATGTGGGAGCAAGAGCTTGAATTGGGGACTTTACTGACCTTTCTACAAGTATAAAGCTAGCAGAAGAGAATACTCTTTACATCCTTAGAAAAAAAAGACAACACTGAAATAATTCACCTGGTGGTGTTAATTGGATGTTAATTATGAGTTTGATTTAAATTTAATAAGGAAGGAAACACAATCAAATAGTAACTTTTTAATAACACACCTAGCGTTTAATGCTGCATGTCAATGCAAAGAACAAGCTATGTTGTTTAGTGTTGGTTGTTTATGTCTTAGAACATGATTTCCAGTCCCAGGTAATGTGGCAAAATACTTTTTACTTACCATCAAATTTTTGTAAAGATTTATTTATTTATGCATACAGAACAGGGGTACAGACCAGAGGTGCAGGGTCACCAGAGACACAGGGGGAGCAGAATAGGCAGATCAGCGAAGTACACTGCTGAGGGGAGCAGCGGGAGGGTCAGGAGAGGTCTGCCACACCATGTGGATCACCTCTGGGAGGGGATTGAACTCATGTTGAAGTCGCTTTAACTTCTTAGTGCTGTGCTTTAGCTCCCTGCACCACCAGGGAGGACCCTACTTACCATCATTTTTAAAAGCAACACCTCACATTTAAAAAAAAAAAAAAATATTTATTTGTGCATACAGAACTGGGGTACAGGCCAGAGGCTTAGGGGCGGTGAGAGGATTCACCAGAGACAGAGAGGGGAACAGAACAGGCAGATTGATGAAGTACACCTCTGAGGGGAGCAGTGGGCGGGTCAGGAGAGGTCTGCCACGCCATGTGGTCACCTCCGGGGCAGGCGGGAATTGAACTCATGCGGAAGCGGCTTTAGATTCTCAGTGCTGTGCTTTAACCCACTGTGCCACCAGGGAGGGCCAACACCTCACATTTTAACAGTATTCATAGATGCAGTTAGTGATGAACAATGCCAGCCTTTGTAACTAATTTAGACTTTTAGATTTGCCAGGGCTTTGAGTGCCAGACCATCCAACCCTTGCATCTTGAAGTTGAGGAAATAAACCTACAAGGGTGAAGTGACTTACAAGTGACTATAAAAAAGATGAATGACATCAAGACACATTCTCGCTCATCTCTCCTCTAAGACTTTTTCTACTCTTTTTCTTTCTTAAGATTAGAACAGTAACTAGAAAAAATGAATAAGTGACTTACTGAAAGACTCTAATCCTGGAAAGCAAGGACTCCAATTTAGTGTTGGTTCGAATAATGCTCAGAATTACCCTCACACTGTATAAAATTATTCACATACTTGAAGGAACATATCCCATACCTATATTCTCTATTACTGACATTTACTGCAAAGATTAGACCATGTTCCATTATCATAAAACTCCAGGACTAATATAAACAAAATAAGTTTATTTCTCCTTTCTTCAGAGTTGTGGAGTGTGGAGGTTGTGTCTTGTCACGGCAAATCCTATTGGGGAATTTTCCCCAGAATCTTGGTGTCCTCATCCTTTTCTCATTCAGCTGGCTGAGTTCATGAGCTAATCTCACTGGCTAGTGAAATGCTACCCTTTGGTTTCACCCTCATCTCTATAATGCACATAATCTTTGAACCCAGATATCATCCTTAAGGGTAAAGCGAAGTTCCCAAAGCCACACAAGCTTCAATCACCATACAAGATTGAAAGGGATTTTTCTTTACAGTCCACCTATATGAAAGTTAGAAGAGGAGGATTTTGAAAATATATGCACCAGACGCTGAAAATGGTTCCTGTGGCTCAGAGATAACATATTGTTCTGTTGCTTGTTTTTGCTGAACCTTAGAGAAATCACTAGAGTAAAATTCCATGTAAATTGCTAAGGCATCAAACCAGAACTGTCCTTGGGCATTGTAACACTGCAGAAAAACTCATTTAGTTTTTTTTTTTTTTCCAAGTTCATTTTTTTTTTCCTTTTCAGAATAGGCACAATTTGTTTATGGAGTAAAAGGCTTTTCTTTCTCCACAGATATGTCTGTTTTTGTTCATGCCTTGGAGACTTCAGAAAAATAGAAGCTCACTTTCATAAGACTGAAGAACATTTTAACAAACAGTCAACAACTAAATTCAAATATTTGCCTATATAGTGAGTATTTTCTTTTCAGAATTGCCAAAGGACCAAAACCAGGGGTTTTCAAGATTCTGTTACCAAACCTACAAAGTACGAATTTCCTTGTGTTTAACTTCGTTGTCGTGCTCCTGAGTAAATATCCATTTCTATTACAGACAGTACTTTTATGCTTCACTCATTTTTCTAAGTTCACACAATTTTTGCTGTAGCCTTTCATTCATGTTAAAAACCTGTAATTTTCCTCTATTTATAGACGAGACTGTAAATGCACAGTTGTGCATTTGGTGAGGTGCTGTGTTTCCCTGGCATCATATTGCTGTATTTATAGTCACCGTGCCTGGAGCTTTCTAAGTGGCAAGGGGACACTGCTGTATTTTTGTTTGCTTTGCTTTGACAATAAGACAAGTGAGGAGAGGTGAGCAGTATTTATCACTGAAACAAAGAAGTGAGCCAGGTAGAGGTGGGATGGAGGGAGAAAGGTATTCAACATAGCCCCTACTCAAGGAGAAAGATGTCTGTGCAGCTGATAACAAGAGGCACTGTTAGCCAGTCTCTGAATTCTGTTTTGTCCACATTAACTGTAAGATGCTGCTGTGAATTTCCTCCCTTTGCTGTGTCAGACCTGTTAGCTCAGCTGAATTAGTATGTAAACTGCCAAAAAGCTAAAGTTCTTTTCTCCCTCCTTCTTTACCTCTCTTTTTTCTCCCTCCACTTCTCCTTATCTCCTTTCAAGGAAACTAGCATTTTTGCAGTTGTCTGTCACATCTGGATAGTTTCTCATTTTACAAATCAGCTTACAATTGATTTACTAGTTAAAGGAGATCCTCATTTGGGTCTGATCTTAGTGATGGTCTTCCTTGGGAAAAATGGAATAATTTATAAGCCAGGTTTAAATAATAATTTTAATTATTTTAATACAATGCTTTAGAGCTGTGTAGCTCATTAAATCCCTCAAATACTCTACAAAGTACATGATATTTTTACTACTTCACATATAAGGAAAATGACACACACAGAGGTAAAGTAACTTGCCCAAGTTTGCATAGTAAGTGATAGAAAGAGGTTCCAAACCCAGAGAGTTTGACCCTGGTTATATCAGGCTACCAAATGTAATCGATAACCCCACAATTCTAGTTTAAAATCTCAATACATTAAGATTTATTTCTCTCCCAAAGTTGAATGCTATTTAGATGGTTCCTCCCCGACCAATGTACATCAAAGGATGAAGCAGAAACACTGGATCCGTATATCATGGGACTCTTACCTCCTGTACATTGCTGCAGGCCTCTGTTTGCCCTAGTCCTGGGGAAAGTATGGGGGACCTCACATTGGGAGGCTTTCTGGACAAGTGCAGAAGTGACAAGCATCATTCTGCACACATTTCACTGACCAGGCTCAATTGTGTGGTTTGGTAATAAAGTGGGCAACGTTGTTTAACTGTATGCCCAAGAGGAAAAGAAAA